GCTTGGCAAACCAGACTAAACTGAATTACCTCTGGTAGATAAATTAAAACCAGACTTAGAGCTTCTCTTCTCATTTTCCAGTCCAGTCCACATGCAAACTGTTTATACAGACCAACTAGAGCTTATGTCATGCTTTCATCACACAGAAACAACAACAAAAAAAGAAAGGATGTAAATGTACCTCCGAATATAAAAATAACTGCGAATCTGCTCTTTTGCAAAGGGCTGCCACACTGAAAGCGATAGCTGCCAACCTAGAGACATTTATACACACAAAAAGTCTTTAAGCTCTGCATGTTCTGTACTTTGAAGTCATTTGCATATAAGATCTCAGTAGAAAAAAAGTACAAAGAACCGGAAATCTAAAAATAAGAGCATTTTGGCCATTATCCTAGACATTCATCTCCTCTGATTGTTCAGATGTAAAGAGGACAGAATGAGTTTAAAACCACCTCAGTGCTTTGGCAGTTTGAATGCAGTAGAAATGGAAAACTGTAGGTGGTCTGCTGTTGAGAAAAAAATTCCATCACCGTGGCAGTCAAGAGATAACCGGGGAACTGGACTGATGTGGATTTCACTCTGACTGAGCGTCTGTTCTCTGTCCACAAGAGGTGACGATAAACCAGTGAAGGTGTGGGGTTACTCAAAGTCCAGTAAAAGACATATGGCAACAGGGACACAGTGCAAACATCATGGGAGTGATGGAGTGAAATTAAATAGGCAGAGGCGATAACAACATTCACACCAATTCAGTGTGAGGAGAGCAGTACATTAATATTACAGTTTTTCTCAGTCGCGTTGGTGCATTTCTCGGATCACAACTGAAATTCTCAAAACTATTGTTCAACCTTCACGTCATCTGGTCACTTGTGCACATCGTAAAAGCAATTTCTCTTTGTTTTGAACAAATTGCAAATGCTTTGGTACATTCATGCAATTGATTATGTACGAGTGTCTGCTGTTTCCTACATTATCAATTGTCATGTTGATCAATAGGCTATATATTATATGGTTGAGAATGGTTGAGCTAGTTGTCATAAACTGTCAAGCATATTTTCTACACATTTTGTAAATATGTCCTGAATTGATGAATTGCAGAGGTGAATTTTGAATTTCACACATGTAAATGTAAGGGAAATGTAAAGGCCTATCAACCAATGATCAACCAGTTCTTTAAAAGAGTTCAGAGGTACATGTCATGGAGCTTAATTTGGAAAGACAGAGCATAACACAGTGCTACAAATTCTGACAATGAAAGAACAACAAGGAAACAAACATGGTCAGCAGTGTGGAGGTAAAACAGAGGAAGAGGTAAGAGGCCAAGATTGTATAGATATTTCTGATTAAATAAGGGCCACTGTTGTGGACCATGTTTTCAGTCTTGGACGAGGCGGGTCGAAAGGTACAGCTGAATGCTGGGAGAACAACCGTGTCCTCAATCATTCAAACGTTTGTAGACAGAACAAGTATGTAATCAGACAATGTTCACTATACTATACTGTAACACTGTATACTTACTATAATGCTATTACAGTAGTCCACTTGCATTTCACATAGAGTAAATATACTTTAGAGACACAATGTAACACACACACACACATACTATTTACAGTATGTGTCTTGTCTTTTTTTTATATATTGACACTGTACTGTAATTTGTTGACAGACCAACAGTAAATGTGTAATGTGAATCCTGTCCAGTCTCTTGCAATCAATATCCCACATGAGTAATGTGTACATTTGTACTGTTGAAATGTATATATGCCTACAGATAATGTCTGGATTCAGAGAAGGGTGGATCCAGGCGCAGTATGAGCGTGGAGTGATATTTATCAAGACAAAACACAGGCAGGAACACAGTCCAAACAATAGGGCAGGAGAACAGGCTGGTCAGGGATGAGAAAACTCCAGGCTCTATGGCAATGGTGGAAATTAAGGAACCAGAGGCTTGGCATTTCTCCATTCTGCCACCTGATGGAGTTTTGGTTCCTTGCCACTGTCGCCTTTGTCACCTTTTCCCCCCTTTGTTGCCATTGGCTTTGGGCTTGCTTAGTTGGGGACATTAAATTTAAAGGCACACTGCGGACTTTGTGACCTAAAGAGTTGACGCATATGAGTTATTTTAAAGCTGCCGTCGGCAACATTTTTTTGATCATATTCAGTGAAATCGACACTATAATCCGACAGAACAACATAAATAAAGTGGTTTTAGAAAAAAACCTGAGCTTCTAACTCCACCTGGAGCGTGTTATTTGTTTTGCAAAAATCCACAGCTCCCGGATCATCGGGTCCAATCAGCGCAGGGGGGTGTGAGATCTGACTGTCAATCACAGATCGGGCACACACCACCCCTCACGCACGTTACAATCACATGCACACGCCTGAAGTTCGTGCAGTAACGAAGAGTGATGGCGGAAAATCAAGTAAGCTCATTTAGAGTATAAATGATGTTAGCAATTGCAATCTATCGGTAGATTAGCCAGGACAGCATACCTCCAAATAATCCATGGTGTTGATGGATGCTGATGAGACGGGCGCGTTCACTGAAAATCTGGTGCCCACGCACTGACGAGCATGAACTCGGTGGGAGGGTATCCGTTGATAGTGGGGGAGGGCCATGAGAGTTGTAAACATTCAAAATTTTGCCTAAGTCCACTCAATCTGCCAGACTTGCCGACTGCAGCTTTAAATGATTCCTTAGGCCAATATACAGCGCTTGATACTATCAATGCTCCGAGCGGGGCTGCCCTCTTGAAATACCGCCTATGTAAGTTTGGAGAAGGCACACCGTCTTTGGCCAGGTCATGTGACCTGGAGAACGTATCGCTTTATGACCGTCACGTGACCACAGGCTCTGATATACTCATGGAGCAAAGGCTTTTGGTACTATTTTTCCACCTGCTCAACTCCTGGCCACGACTAAGGCAAGGAAAAAGTTTAAAACTGCTTCTGAGGAGGCAAAAAAGAGAAAACGCGAGAGGGATCGTGCTCAAGGAAAAACAAGAGTCGATCTTGGAAAGGAGTTTGCTCGTTGGCGCAGGTTGAAAGAAGAAGCTGGATGTAAAACCGATTCTCTTCTCTCAACTTTATTATTAGACTGGTAAGTTAAAGGGATACTCCACTTTTTTTGGAAATAGGCTCATTTTACAACTCCCCCAGAGTTAAACTGTTGAGTTTTACCGTTTTTGAATCCATTCAGCCGATCTCCGGTTCTGGCGGTACCACTTTTAGCATAGCTTAGCATACATCATTGAAGTGGACAAGACCATTAGCATTTCAAAAAGAAAAAAAAAGGCCAAAGAGTTTTGATATTTTTCCTATTTAAAACTAGACTCTTCTGTATTACCTCGTGCACTAAGACCGAGGAACTTTACTCTCATTTCTGCGTAATAATCAAGAAACTTTACTGCCGTACCATGAGTGCAGCAGGCGTAATGATATGACTCAGCGCCTGAAAATACGTTGGTTATGTTGACGGTATATATAAATTAACCAAATTAATAACTTTTTTACAACAAAAATGAAACATCACTGAACTTACTTAAGCTGGACTGACGGTATTTTCTTCTGGAAACAAACTTTGTTGCATTATTTTCCTGTGTGACTTGTGACTTGACTCAAATGTGACTTGACCTGACATAGGTGAGATGTAACCAGCACTGGGCACTAAATAAAATAAAATAAATTATATCTAGAAATAAGTAACTGGAACTTACAAAAAAAATAAAATAAAACAAGACTGCAACCTTTCAGAGAACTAGAGAAAAAATAAATAAAAGATTACTTAGCAAAAAATAAAAATCAAGTGAAACCAAAAAAAAAGGCTTGAGAGAACTAGAATAAAAATAAATAAAGACTAGAACTAGACTAAAAACACAAGACCAAAGAAAAACTAGAATTTAACAAAAAGGAAATAATCAAACAAGGAAACCTCTAGCACTGACTGATAATATGTGAGAACCGGATACACACAATGAACACACACAACGATCCAGCAAAGACATGAGGGGAAAAATGCACATGAGGATCAGGTGAAAACAATCAAGCAAAAGAGGACTAGACAAGGGGGCGTAATATTGGGAAACAAGGAGGCAGAACAAGAAGAGCACATGGAAAACACAGACAAAGACAAAGCCATGTGCTGACACACAACACAAACATAGAGACATGAAACAAAGACAACACAGACAACGCTGCCATGGGCAGAACCCTGACAGATGCAGTCTTCTGCATGTTCAATCATTGTCATAAAAATGGAAGCCATAGTTTACATCTTATAACTATCTTATAACAATATAATTATAATCTTAATAACAATGGAAATATAATCTTATTAATTTATAATAAGATATAATCTTGTTATATTGTGAACAATGACACAAGGACTTGTCATTCTGATGGCACTGATATGTTCATTGACACAAATACTTACTTTTGAGAGATGAACTAAGGATTTTGAGCAAGTTACAGGCTGTTGCATGTAATCCATTGTGTGCTGCTGTTTTAACAATTGTTTTGAGAAATGCACATACTGGTTTGCAAAAAGATGATTCAAGAAATGTACAAAAAAATTTAACAAACCACAACAGCCTGAGTTTTTTTCTTCATAATTTTTTTTTACCTTTTTATTTTATTTTATCTACCCGCCTGTGATGACGACGACTTCACTGGATCTAAACAAATCAAGCCGATGAATGCAACACGCATGACAATAAAATACACATTATCAAAATATACCACAGTGTTTAAATCTGAAAGAAAAACAAAAACAAAACTGAAAATAGTAAAAGGTCTTTAATGCCTGCGTGGGAAAATATGATTTATTGAAGGTTTGGTATGTGCCTACTGATGATATTTAGAATGAACAAATTCCCTCTATTGACGTGACCGTCAACATTTAATAAGATAGAAGCACCTTAAAATTATTTTCAAATAGTCGACCCCTTGAAAGTCATTATATAGGCCTACTTCGCACACTGGTCACTAGGCTTGCCGTACTGATAGCTCCACCTGTCAATCTTCGCTCGCTCTCGAAGGCAGCTTCTCCGTTACAGTACGAAGTTCCAGGATATCTCGTGCTGACCACTATTGAGAGCTGTCAATCATTCATTCGCTCCTAACCGTCTGGCAGTGTGACGTCGCCGTACTGACCGCTCTACCTGTCAATCATTCCTCCAGGGCGAGCGTAAGAAAAAATCTCAGGGCTGATGTGCGCGTGAAACGACTGCTGTCCACAATGCTGTGTATCGAGACGTAGCATCAGGTGAGGATAACAACACTCTACGTGCTTGAACGTTTTAGTAACACGGAGGGAAATAAACAAGAAGCATGGATAAACGCGACAAGAACGCAAAAAAAGATTCGGGGAAGTCTACTAAACGCACAGGGAAACTGTTCCGGAGGAAATCGTTTAAATCTGTGGAAAGTTTGGTGAGTAGGATCTTGAAAAGTTTGGGAAGCTTGGCTAGCGGTGGGGAAACAACCGAACGGTCAGATGCAGAGGATGATGATGGTGGGTTTGGAGAAAGCGCACCTTGCGCTGGAAACTCGGGACATGTGAAAATAGAGGACAGTGGCAGCCAAGTGAGGAAAAGTTCCTCTCTTCCATGCCGTTCCTCCGCGAAAGAACGACTGTTTTCGCTGTACGGGGACAAAACGCCAGGCGCGTTGGGTCTGAAGAACCACGGGAACACCTGCTTCATGAACGCCGTCGTGCAGTGCTTGAGCAACACGGACATGCTCTCAGAATATCTGGGTTTGGAGCGATATAAACTGGATCTGTGTCACAGGGGAATGAACGGATTTATCATGGATGAGAACGGTCAGCACGAGAGAGGAGAAGTTACGGAACGGCTCGCGTCTTTGGTCCGAGCGCTTTGGACTTTTCAATACACACCTCAACTCTCGGCTGAGTTTAAGGTAGACTCAACTCATTCAAGTTTAGGCTACTGTTTTTTCACTTATCTGATGCTTTTATCCACCTATACAGGCATCCCGTGAAGGTTCCTCAAATAACCTATTGTATTCAATAAAGCCTATAGCTGCTCTAATGCGCATGGAGAAAACAATAATTGTCCTTAAAATTCTTGCAGGAACTTGTGAGTTCATATAAAAAATCTAAAGGTTTTACAGCCTGATAGCCCACTTCAGAAGAACCTTTTTAATGTCTCCAAATATCATGCAAATCATACATAATTAGTACTATGCATGCTGTCTTTATGTTTTTATAATTAGAATGCATGCTGTTTTTTTGACCAAATACAGAATTTATCGAGAATATTTTCACATCACATCAGATGACCTATTAAAATGCGTGAGTGATTAAAATGGTGAAAATTTTGGAAATGGTGACCATGTACGGTCAGCACCCAAATTATATACATTCCCTTTTACATTAATATATCTATTTAACTTAAAATCTCTTGGACGCGTTTCAGCTTCCCATAATAACTTCAAATAAGCTGATGAGGCTTTCTCTGATGTGACTGTTTTGTTCAGTATGCGAGCAAATGCTTTCCCACAGGATGATCTCTTCTAAGCAAAAAATAGATCATGATGAGAAACTTCCCACAGATAGCATTATCACCACCAGAGAGTAAATGTAAAAACAAGAGTGCACTCTCAGATAAGCCATCACCACACTGGATACGGTCCACAAAGACGAGCACAATCTGGAATGCAAGTCTTATGTAACACTGCTTTCTTAGAAATCTACTACTAGAGTAATACATTTGCTTGAGAAATGATGACGAAAGAACTTGCCACTACAGTCTTAAAGACAGAGAGGGCAGATGGCAGAAAGCTAATGGTTTACTACGGTAGAAGTACAAATTTCTTCACGATAACAGTTATGTTGCCTAATTAGTCCAGCCTTTGTCATCTTTAGTAATATTGCTAACAAAATCACTCAGCAACCTTGAAATTTCTAGTTGCTGTGTGTGTCCCTGATTTGACCTGTACTAACTTAGGAAAAAAAACCTTAAAGGAATAGTACACACACACACACACACACACACACACACACACACACACACACACACACACACACACACACACACACACACACACACACACACACGCATGCACACAAAAGTAAAACAGTAATTTTTTGGAAGAGCAGCTCAGATTTTGTAAAATATCTTCATGATCAATAATTAATCTCCATGAATGTCAGATTTGGAATGACATGAGGGTGACTAAATGATGACAGAATATCATTTTTGGATGAACTAACTCTTTAAGACTTTTAGAATGACAATACAATAAAACACATTTAGCAAGCCATGTATCTTGAGGTAGGAGGAGTAGCTAAAGAAACTAGCAGGTGTGAGAAATCCAGAAAAGATTTCTGTGGAAAAGCGTCATCGAGGAGAGGTGGGAGTGTAGCCATAAAGTATGAGAAAAAGAGGCCCATTTCTTCACACACCCTACTATCAAAAGTCTGAAATTTACCGGTATTGCCTTGAAGGACCCCAGTCTGGGCTGACTGTTAGACGAATGGAGAATTACAAGATCACTCAAGATAAAATGTACGGCTTTTGCCCACCCAATGGGGGAAACCCCCCCCAACACATTTATGGATAAATCTGAAACAATAGGCTTCTGTATATTAGGCCACAAGACAAAATCAACAGCCTCATCTGATTCAGAGTCTAATGAGTTGCAAATCTCGCTCTGCTTCTCAGACGTCTGCGAGAGTTAATGAGTGCCTGACTGAAGAAATTGGGAGCCATCTATAAACAATCAAGAGCTCTACACTATAATTTAAGGCTCCCACTGCGCTTAACTTCATTTGCCTAATATCGGCGTCAGTAAAGTGAAAGCTATTTCTAATTAGACTAAAAAGGACCTGAATTATACAGTGACAACAACATTACAAGTGGTGACTGGTTCAATTTGTGCAATTTTTGGAAGAGCAAAATCTTGTGGAACGTGTGAGTTCGAACTAGGGCATTGTTCGTGTTCAATGTAGAACATCTACATTGTTAAAAGCGCTATATAAATGAGGATGACTTGACTATAGGTTTTCAGGGTACCAAAGTTTCAGTAGTCGGTACCAATACCAGTAAAATTCCGTGGTTCTCGGTAGTCGGTACCAATTTCGGTACCAGAGCAAAAACTGTTGAATTACGTACTTAAAAAATTATTTGTCCCGTTTTTGTCTTGTCCGTTGATTAGCACTGTCAATCAATCATCGCAGCTTCTAATTCGATCGCATTTAAATAGGCCTACAGTTGTCAACCCAGAAACTTTGCAGAGTAGGCCTACTTAGCAGCATGAAAAACTAAATTTGTATTTTCAGATTGTGAATGGGTAATAAACAGAAAGCAAGAGAAGAGCCCGCCCTTTATAATCACTAAGGCTGTCAATCTCTGTCACGGGTCTATGAAGGAGGACTCAAATGCAGAACGAGTGTTAACAGGTTTATTGACAAACAGTAGACAAGATGTGGTGGGAGAGGTGAACAGTCCAGACAAAAGGCAGGGATGAGACACAAAGACAGCCGTTGCAGCAAAACTTGCAGAGCAGCAGCTGTAGCTAGCACAAGAAGACTGTAGGCTGGAGAGTAGTGTTTGCAGAGCAGAAAGAGACCTGAGAGTACTAGCAATAGCCAGACAGGAACCTCCAAGGACAACAGTAAGGCACTCAGGGATCTCAGGCTAAGCACCAGGCTTGCACCAAAGCACAGAATGCAAGCAGCCAGGGACGCTCTGCTAGCAGGACTGGAACTAGAGACAAGACAGACAGGACCAATGGCAGAACTAAAGCACTAACAAACTTCTACAAATAAAACACAATAGACTTAGGTAACAAGAAACTAGCTAAGTAGCACAGATGTAAACAGTAGCACAACATTCAACGAACTGGCAACACATGAGGGAAAGAGCACACACATAAAGGGAGTTAACAAGAGTAACAGGTGAGAACACTCAGACAAGGAACAGGTGAACACACTCACGTAAACGAGGACTGAAACAAGGGAGCAGAGAACATGAGGAACAGGTGACAACACTCAGACAAACGAGGACACTCAGACAAACTAGACAAGAGGGCGTGGTACAGGGAAACAAGGAGGCAGGAACAGAGGAGCACATGGCCAACACAAACAAAACCACATGTTCAAGCACAACACAAACATAGAGACATGAAACAAAGACAACACAGACAAAGCTGCCAGAGCAAGACCCTGACAATCTCTAAAGCACAAGATCACTGAATTCTGCACTCGCGAAAATTCATGTTATAGTTTAAAAAAAAACCTGTCTTAATTGTTCACTTGTTAACACTTTGTTGGTTATAATGAAAGGATTTGCAAGCGTGCGGCTCATGTTGAACAAAACAAAAACTTAAGCAGATTCTGACTAAAGCTGGGTTTTGGCCACGATTGGCCAAAATCTGAAGTCTTTGATCACTATTTTGACATGTTCACCGCATAGGCTGAATTTATTATTTATAATATATTTATTATATAAATAATAATAAAGGAATTAAATAATGAAAGGATTAAAAGGGATATAAGGGAATGATTGAATAAGAATGGTACATTTTTTGGTTCTAGGTCTAATTGTAGTTATGACGTAATCAATTTAAACTATTTGCAAATAACGCTTTATTTTAAAATGTGCACACATTCACTCTTATTCATATGTCGAAAACGCAAACATTTCTTGTCTCGTCACATTCATTTATGAATTGCATGAATCATGATTGCATTACTTACAATTCAAAACGGTGAAATTTCAAAAAAAGTTGAGTAGTTTGCAGCACTAGATAGTCTGTTACTGTCGGTCGCTGAACATTTCCATCGTAAAACAGTTGTCTTATACTTATATCTTTCCATAAAGTTTTTGTGCTGTGTCCCGCTTTGATTTGATAATTTGGCCGTCTCTATAATTTTGACATTGATGAGTGCTGTTAAACTGCTGAGGCAGAGCAGCCTAAAAAAATTAAGTTTACAATTTTTTGTCATCCTAACAACAAGCAGCTTTACTCATTCTAGACTAAAATGCTAAAATAAGACAAATAAAATGAGTCAATGGTTAAGTCTATAAAAAAAGTCCAAAATAAAGAATAAAAAAATTATTCATAGATCAGACATAATCATTGGCCCCCCAAACTCCGCCTATGGTTTACTGACAGCCGATTAACGATTGTTGCGATAAATGTTGACCCCAGATGAAATTCTGGTAGTGTCTAAAGCAGGGGTGTCCAAACTCGGTCCTGGAGGGCCACTGTCCTGCAGAGTTTAGTTCCAACACACCTGCTTGTAAGTTTTTAGCATGCCTAATGACCTTCAACAGCTAATCAAGACCTTAATTAGCTGTTTCAGGTGCATTTAATTGGGGTTGGAGCTAAACTCTGCAGGACAGTGGCCCTCCAGGACCGAGTTTGGACACCCCTGGTCTAAAGGTTTGACGCTCAGTCCTGATTTCTCCTACAACAACAACTGTCAAATCTAAAACCAATTGGGGCGCAGAACCTGATGACACAATTAGTGAGAGAACAACAAACCAACACTTGCTCCGCACAGACGTGTTAATTTTTTCTTCTTTTTTGCAGTTTTCTTTTCAAGACAAGCCATGATCAATATTAGTGCTAGAGATTGTTTTTGTTTGCCGCCATTTCAGTCCCGCGTGTAAATGCAGCTCACTGTCACCGTACATGTCACGGATTGATGTAAAACTCCGGACGAGTCTTTCTTGCATGCGTCCTTTTTTAACATGTGTTGACTGCCGTACAGTCTGACATGAATGACAAGTGAGATCCTACAGTGTGACATGGCTTACATGGACATTGTAAAAACAGTGGTAAAAAGACTATTATAAATCGTACACTGTGCACCCGGCTTAATTACTGGCTAGCACCTCTGATAGGCCATTGCGTTCACGCAATCAGCAAATATAATTGTGATTTGCTAC